TAAGTAAAGATTAAAATGCTCGAATATTGTAGCACTGAACAATTTTAATTTAAAAGATTAAATTTAGGTGCAATATATAATTTAAATATTAACAATTGATTCCAATTGTTAAAGGGTCATTTACAAACATTAGCGTATAAAATTCAAACGGTCTTCAAACTGCTTAAACGGTACCTTAACAGTTATAAAAGAAAGGACAAAGTAGAATTCCAAGGGGAAAGAACCAAAATGGAGCAAATAGCCAAAATGAAACTGAAGGAAGCGGCTGAAGCAAAGAAAACAAGGTACAAGCAAGTAGGAACATGGGGGAGTTTTGGAAAGCCATTGATGACTGTCGGCCACATGAAGCGAGGAAGGGGAACTCGATCGCGGACGAGCGATGGGTGGGCCATATGACGAAGCTTCTAAGGCAGAAGTGGTCAACCTCAGCTCTCGGAGCTACTCCAGCTCCCGACCTCCATTAGGTTGCGCCCCCTTCGGGCCCATGATGCCCTTCGCGTAGGTAAGAGTAGTGGGGATATTCGGCAGAAACTTGGTGGTGGAAAAAGTGAAATAGAAAAATTTTCTATTTCTCTAATAGAAATATTTTTTGTATTATTGCTTTTTTTGTTGTTATATGCTTTTGACTGGTTATTGGTTGCTTTTAATCGATTGTATAATGAAAAATTTTGTATCTTTAATACATTTCTTGAAGTGGAAATATTTTTCTCGGAAAACAGTTATTAAATACGATCATGTTGTTGATAAAACCTGACTTGACATTAGTTTTCAAACTTTTGATTTCTGTATTTCCCGCTCTCGATGCCAAATTAAAATTAATAAATTTCTCATAATCAAAAAAATTATCGGCATTCTTTAATCTTTAATTGATGATGAAATATTTCTTTTTCAAGTTCACGAGCATCCCACTTTCATTTCCAATGAATATTGAATCCAAACCATAATCTCTTAATTCCGTTTTTTTTTAACTAAAAAGAATATGTACGTGCATAAAAATTCAAACCATTGTGCCCTCACATTTCAATCACGCGCATGCGCTATCGCTCGATGTTACCCCCGTCACTCAAATATACGACAACCCTTGTAATCACGTTACGTCCCTTATAATTAAAACCTCAATAATTTTATGGCTACAGCTCCGAGCCTACCTGAGGTTGCCCACCTCTTTTCTAGGGGGTGCCAATAGCACGAGGGATGAAGATAGGGACTGGGAGGGAGGCGAGGAGAGGGTCGAGGTAGAGGAGATTGATAGGGACATCTCATATGTAGAACTATGCGGGGCCCTAAAGGCACTAAAGAATGGGAAAGCAGCGGGGGAGGATGGGATTAATGGGGAATTTTTGAAAAACCTACTTGACCGCTGGAAAGATGAGCTGTGGAAGATTGTGCAGAAGGGATGGGAATCCAGGGTTTTGGTGAAGGGGAGGCATGTAGTGCGCATCTTCCCCATCCACAAGGGGGGTGGGGCGAAAACGAAGTAGAAAATTATAGGGGGATTTCTCTTCTAAATCTGGGATATAAGCTGCTAGTCAGCATCATGGCCAGGCGACTGGGTAGTTGGCTAGAGAGGGAGGGGAAGCTCAGAGAGAGTCAGGGGGGCTTCAGAACAAAAAGGGGAACCAATGTACAAGCACTTAAAGAAGAGAGAAGATGACTCCTGCTATTGGGAAATCAGAGGGGTCTCATGGGGGGACAAAGTGATGTGGGCGCCACTGCGTTGTGGTAATTTGGGAAAAGCCAAAAACAACGGCTACGAAGACGTATCCTGCAGGATATGTGCGGGAACCTCAAAGGGGGGGTCTTGAAGGAAGTATGGAACAACTGGAAGAATCTCGGAAGGGGGAGTCAATTGTAGAGCTACTGGGGGGGAGACCAATCTCAGAACTTTGCAAATTCTACAGGGAATGGGAGAAATTACTGAGGGTGAGGGAGGGGGAGCATACAGAAACTCATATCACTACCCTATGACAACCCGCTTGCTCGTATTTTCACATTTTGTCTATTTTCGGCTAGTCTGAAGCTTTTTTTACAGCTAGTCCCATCTAGGATTGAAGGAGTGAAAGCCGAATGGAAACTGATAGTCGTCACGAAAAATTCACGGCCGAGGAGTACTTTCTTTTAACCGACTCGATGGCACGCGGGTCGCCGGTTATTATTATTTTTTTTTTCTTTTTCTTTCGTCCTAAGGTACAACGAGTAGGATACATCAAGCCCTCTGATCTCCAGCGAAAAAAGGTTTTAGGGCCGAGTTGTTAGGTGAATATAATATACGACAGCTCTCTGCCTGTGACGACACCTCTGCATCTGATGTCAGCTTGGCAGATACGCTGTCGCGTATCTTGATTTTCACTCTTACTTTACAACCATTTAAGGTAGATAAATATTTAATACCAATAATAAAAAGACTAAAGCGAGAGAGAGGAGAAACGTCCTTGTTGCAGTACCGGTCGTAACTAGCAACATGCATTATCCCTCCTTATTTCTCCGCCGGCGCGACTGTACTCCCTCCATCGATGGACAGCTTGATCAGACCCATTCAGGCAGTCTCATTTCTTAAAGGCTGATTCACATAGCTTTTATAGTACATCTACTGTGTGAATAGATAACTAATCTCAGTACAGACTAAAAAATATATCAACATCATAGATCATCGCATGCAAAAAAAACTATTGTAAAACTGAGTAAACCTGAATCATGTGTTTGAGGTAATCATTATTAGTTTCGCTCTTGCGTATATAAGGTCATGGGAAGTGTCACTGAATGAAGAAATTATTCCTTTTTTCATAGTATACTATTCTCAGCTCTGAAATCAGATAATGATACAAATGGATACAAAAATACAGAGAGGTGAAGTTCTTACTCCAGTTTGGTGTGAAGCAATGTGACTACGTATTCTTTCTTCTCGACTATTACTGCGATGCATTTATATTTCACTTGAGAAAGTGACACGAAGTCGCAGACATTTGATCATTTTTCTACGTGAAAAACACTAATTTGTTGAGAAAGATACGGTGTACGGAATACGTCGTGAGTTCTTTCAGCTGGGTATCCCTCTATGAAAATGTCATGCACATTATTTTCATAGTTTTCCTTTATCCACAGATTCGTAATCGTGAAAAGATTTCGATTCATGAATTGAACAACGTTATCCGGCTTATTCCGTTTCAAGACCAGGTCGCAATACGTAATGGACTCCAATGATACATAATTTGCGCCATTCCTCAAGACAACTTTGCTCACTTTGCTTTTCTTTTAATCTCCAATCAATTGAGGTTTTTTTGTTTTCACATTATCATTTGACTCAATTCAGTTTATTAATAATTTGAGGTAAAGGTTTCGCTGTGCTGGTGACATATCTTTTCAATTGCCCTATATAATTTTCTGCCCAGAACGACGAATAATCATAGAGGTTTGGAAGTATGCAGCATCATCACAGACGTGAAGTAAATTGGGAAATGTCATCGTCTGAGAGTCCTCCCCATAGAATAGTGGCAATAATCGAAAAAAATTCCTAAACAATTGATTTGCTATTTCTCGATGTCTTACAATCCATACCTTGCTACAGACAATGCGACATGCCACAGATACCAACAGAAAGTGTTGCTATTGTTCTTGAGTAAGGACATGTTGCAGGATGACTGCACCCACATACAGCAATAGAAATGCATATTGCGTAGCCTTGCAGTGCGATATATCCTCTACGTCAAGTTTTTTTCGCTGGAACTCTTCAGGAACGAAAGCCGTGACAGAATCCATCATTCTCTTAAAAATAGCCACCTGAGCTATTGGTAATTTGTGGATATTTTTTTCCCTGATGATCCACTTTTCTCCCAACTTTTTCATGACATTATGGAAGAGCAGATGCATGATATCCAGGGCAACCTGTCTTACTGGATCAAATTCAGCGATTTTCAGAAGTGGTGATATAAGTGGCTGTTTTGTTTCTTTATCTGTCAAGTGATGTTCGGGTTGAGCTTGGTGCTCGAAGGTTTTTTTTGTTCGTAGAGAACATCCCATTTCTAGATAAATGCGTTTTTTATTCAGAGTAACACCTTTAGTTGTACACGTCTCGCACCCAAAAAAAGCCGTATGACCTTTAACGGATGTCAGGAACGCCCTCGCTGGACTGTCAGCAATGACAGCTGAGATAGAAAAACCATATGACCTGCCATCGATATCACTTCCTTCGTTTATAAATTTTTTGGATTCATTGACAAAATCTAGCAAGAATGCACTAATACTTTTTGGTTTAGAATTCCCATAAAATAATGCTACAATAAATGGAGTGCTGGTATACTGGAAGTGTAAAATTTTTATGGCAATGGGCCACATTTGATCTTTAGAATGATTAACACTTTCATTCCATCAATGTGCACGACAACACGAATGACATCTTCGTGATAAACGGCTGGATCAATTCTTTTATGCAAACCATTACTGATGCCTAGGTACACATATTGACCAATACCATCTTTAAAAGTAACCAGGTTTTTTGTCTTTATTTTATGGTGAAAACCTAGCAATTTATGTCCAGTCTTTGGCTGATTTGTATATCCCAAATTAATCAGGAGTCTCAACATTTGCGTGACACATTTCAGTTTCATTGAACTGATATTGTCAATGGCCCATTGACGTACCTGCTGCTCTGGTTGCTGCATGTAATCTTCCTTGGATTCACAATAGGCACTAAATACTTCTGAGCAACTTCCAGCGTCACTATCATGTTGTGAATTACGTGCACTGATATTCTCTTCTTCTTGTCCTGTGTTCTCATCAAGATTCACCTCACTTATGTCCATTCATTCAATTTCATCTTCTTCACTCAATTTACACAGTACATCATCATGTGAAACATCATCACCACTACTATTGAAACTATTATTCCATCCAGACTCCTTCTTTTTTTTCCTATAACGGTACTTCCTTACCCTTTCAGTTGATTTACGTATTTTAGACGCCATATCCTCAATATTTATTGGTGTCAATGCGAAAAAGAGGTTATGAAGATGCAGCACTCCCTGGGAATCATATCGGATAGAGCTTGGTCCAAACCTGGTAATACCAGCATAGCAATATTGTGCAGAGACTGGTATAAGCCTGGCAATACCAAGTCTTGGATAGCAGTCTCGGGCAGAGAGTGGTATAAGCTTGACAACACCAAGTCTTGGATACCAGTATTGGTTACCAGTCTTGGGGATGAGACTTGTATAAGCCTGACGATACCAAGTCTTGAGTACCAGTCTTGGGCAGAGATTGGTTCAATCCCGGTATCCGGTAGCTGGGACGCAAGGCTGGGCAAGGCCGATATATCAACTAGACTAAGCCAGGACCCAGGTAGGTGTACCAAGGCTGGGTACGCCAAAACTGGACTAAGCTTGGTCCTATTGTCATAGCTTGGCAATTCTCACCTGGGCGCCAGTTCCTTCCGAAAAGCGATCCAGTCAGTGGCCTTGGGATTCCTACGCATGAGTCCCCGCTGCATTGCGGCAGTACCGCAAATCTTAAACCTGACGTGCCTGTGGTCAAAGAGTGAATCCTCCAAGTCCACGATCTATTCCACGCAACGGTCCGCCAACTTGCGATTACACAACGTAATGTCAATGATGCACTGGCTACTGGAAATGATGAACGTGGGGGTAGTTCCTCTATTGAAGATCTGCATATCCACGTCTGCTGGGTATTCCAACAGGGCAGGTCCCCTGTTGTTGCACTTACTGCTCCCCCAAATTTGGTGCTGGGAGTTTGGGTCGCAGTCCACTATGAGTAGTAGCTTCTGTAACCTACAGTACCTAGGTCCCGCAGCTCCTTCGAAGGTGGCAGCTCGGCTCAGTCAAAAAGGAGATGTGCTGAACAGAAGACGATGTCCTCAGCTGGTCCCCCTCGATGTACTTTCACCATGACTGTCATCAGATCCCTGTGACAGAAGTTCGCCATCCCTCTGGGCTTGCAAGCCTTCCCAACAGTAATGCAGGCTTTGGGTCCCGGGTTGCCTCGGGAAAAGAAAAGCTTGCTCCCACCAAGATCAAAACCCCTCACGGAGCCCTTATAGTACCAGGGCTCCTGAATTAGGCATATATCTGTATGCTCTACGACAAGGCTGTGACTCAGGAGCGCAGTCGCAGCCTTGCGGTAGTGCAAGTTAATCGAAGAGCACCGGACAAGCGAAGAGGTTATGCCGCTCCACCTCATATCGTCCTCTGCTCCCGCCCTTTTGCGCTTGCAAGCCAACGGAGCACCCTTATATGAGGTTCCCGTCCGGCTTGTCCGACGTCGACGTCGACTCTTCACGTCGGTTAGAATGCAATCGTTGATTCTATTCGCTCGATTTCCAATCAAAACAAAAATAATTTTTCATCAATTAGAAGAAAGAAATTCAAATTTTTCTACATAACAGTCAAAAACAATTTCTAATTAAGCTATTCAACTATCTATATTAAATATTAAAATCTATGCATCGAAAATCCAGAACTACATGCATAGAAAAAGAAATTCCGAGAGGCTACTCACTCCAGAATTGACTGACACCAGGACTTCATTTTTAAGTCGACTGCAAATGAATTCAGCCATGATGTCGGTAATTGCAAAGGGGGCGTGATTGAGTGACTTCGAGTTTCAAAATCAATGACGGCATTTGACTTCAATTTGGTGGTCAACGATTGCAGTTACAATGAAGTCATTCGACATCACAAAAAATATAATTCGATAATATAATGGGCCAATTATCTTAATTAAACTCCTTATTAACGAGCTCGTTGTTTTTACGCAATGCCTAAGGCTCGTGGATTTCGCGTCGTTTAGGTGAATGCGTCAACTCTTAGAAAAAAGGTTTGTAGAGAGAAGTTTTGTTTTGTTCTGCTAAGCGTTTAGAAAGAATTTTTTCCCTTATGAATTTCAAACAATAACTATATCCCAGAATAAGCGCAATGCAATTTCACTGACCGCAAGCGATTTCAGTCACTTCGTATTATTTAGTAACTTCCAATCGTTGATTTCAAATCAACTTCAAATTGATTTCACCGTCGAGCGACACCATGCCTTCAAGAGTGGGTAGCCTCTCGAGAAGTTCACTTAAAATTGGTATGAATTATTCACGATAACAAGTAACAATAATATTAATGGCGAGAAATTCTTCACGCAGCATCAAATTGTGACGCATTTGAAATTAATCTCTGATTGGCCAAAATTCCTTCGCTAAAAGTAATCACGATGTTTAATATAATCTATCTTATATTTCAGGGATTATTGCCTGCAAAAAGAATGTTCTGGTTATTTCTCGATCGATTCTGTAGCTCATTTAGATAATGAGCATACACTGAAACTTCTTGTGGAACAGCAAAGGGGTATCGTCGGACCGCTACTCGTTCGGCAAGAACAGACTTGGAGTAATTTTTGGGGAGCTATCGCTGATAATGGATATTATGCAAGAAGCGCTGATTATATGGAAATTATTCAGAATAAGAGAAAGTAAGTTTAATGATTTTCTGCTTTTTATCATTAATGATAGGACAAAGAAGGCCAGCTGCTGTTTTCGTCAGTCACATCTGCTTGTCGAATTTCTTAACATTCATTTTCCTAACTTCTATTAACTCAAGGGAACTTCTATGCGTTACGAGTTCTACTGTAGCAATCCCCACAACCTTAAAGTTTGGGCACCATTAGTGGTCATTGGAAATTTTTCTATTTCCAATGATCGCCGAATGAAATAATTATTTCCACGATTGGATGTATAAAAAAATGTTCCTATGTTCCATGCATTCACAATCTTCGTCGTGGGACGATTGGAAATTGAAAATCTGTATTGAGAATGTCTACATAAACCCAATAATTATAATTAGCGATTTAGCATTGAACATCAATCATAAGATAATCATACAATAAGAATGAATGAAAAAAACATTGGGGAAAAAAAATGGATAATGCAGACCCGGATTTGGATCCGGGATCTTCTGATTATGCAGCGGCTGTTTTTTTTTATAGATTTTATTTTATTATCAATTATCAGCTATACACCTGAGGCTTAAAATAAACTCCTCTAAAACATTGCTCTGTAATTTTGATTTGGTGAGGAAGGTGGTCAGTAGTTAGGTGGTTAACATCTCGCTGCTCTTCGTGTTCTGCCTGTATATGGCTTTCGAGGGTCGCGCTTGGTGTTTGGTGTGAATAAATTCAATGCTGCCTTTTTTGCTGGCGCGTAGTTTCAGTGAAAAAAATGATTTATTGTAAAAAACCACGAAACTTAATTCCTTATGAAGCTAACTTAAAACTATTATTTACAAATATTTACATGAGTGGAATAAGCTTAACTGGGGTAGCCGACTATCTTTGGCTTCTGCCTATCTCTTTGGGCCTTAGGGGTCATCCGTGTCCACTATATTGGCATTTAGCCTGTTTCTCAGTTCGGCAATGAACCTGGCGCTATCGTCTAGCCATCAGCGTTTGGGGCTCAGGCGGCTGTTGTCCTGTGCATCCTGTTCCGAGATCGCTGTGGAGAACTTCGTTGGCTGATTGTGGGGGTTTATTTGTATTTTTTGTTGGCTGGGTGCCTAGGGAGGTGGTATAGCACTGGTATATTGTTGGCTTCCTGGATGAGGCCTACTCTGTCCAGGTGTGTGAATGCCGGGCGCTGGAGGTATCCTGTTTGTATGTTGTAATGGGTTAGTTTCTGGATAGTTTCATTGTTTATTTTAATTAGTTGAGCGAAATAGTCTCTGGTGAGCCTGAGGATGAAGGAGTCGACTCTAAGAATTTTGGCTTCGTTGTAGAGTTCTTGGTTGCTAATCATGTGGTGATGGTGAGGGTTGGCGGAGCGGTATCTGCTGAGCGCGGCACAGATGCCGAGGAGTCGGAGCTTTTCCATAGTAGAGGCAGCCATGTTCCACCAGACTAGGCAGGCGGACGTCAGGAAGGTCGGACGAGTAGGAGGTAACATATGATGCGGGCTCGGTGAGATATGTGTTGATTGTGGAAGAGTTGTTTAAGGGAGTAGGATGTATTCGTTGCTTTTTTTAAATGGATGCTGGTGTGGTTGGAGCAGCAGACTAGGTGGTCTATGTGAATATCCAGGTATTTTACTGATTGCTTGGTGGGTATGGTTACTGCTTCTCTGGTGTCTGGGTTGTGTGTGATTATCTTAAGAGGACTCATTCGCAGATCCCACATCGGCTAGACGTTGTTGATCTTGTTGACCAGGGTTTGGAGTGTAAGTTGGATGGCTTTGACGTTCTTCCCAATGACGTAAACTTTTGAGTCGTCGGCATAGCCTATGGAATGGATGTGGGGGGTACTGTTGAGGCCAAAAGAATTGAGAATATCATTCGTGTAGATAGAGAAAAGGTACGGGGAGTTTACTGTTCCTTGCTGGAGTCCTTCGATTATCTGAAAGTTGTTTTGGGAGGAATGGGTTCCGTCTGTTGTGAAGAACGTTTTGTTGCTTATCATGTTTTGGATTAAGCCAATAGGTCGGTTGGGAACTTTCTCCTGATGAGTGTGTAGATGATGAGTGTGTACCCATCGAGCCAGACTGAGTCGAACGCCTTCTCTAGGTCGATCGGAGTTGCGACTACCATATATGTGAAAAGCTTTGTTGGGAAAGCTTCGTTAACGTCTGCGAGGAATTTGTGTATGGCATGGGTGGTGGAGTGATGGTCCCGGAAGCCGAACTGGTTATCTGGAATTATTTTAGGTTGCGTGCAGTGTCCGGTGATCAGGTTGTTGATTATTATTTCGTATACTTTTCTCAGGTTCGGCGTTAGGCTGATGGGGCGGTAGAATGGATGGGTTCTCACTGGGTTTTCCTCTTTTAAAAATTGAGATGTCTTGGGCGGTTTTCCAAACTTTGGGAAAGTAACTTTTGTTGAAGGCGTTGTTGATGAGGATGCTAAGGTCCTTAATAATATTTGGCGGATGGTAAGTGGAAGGTAACTGAAATGAAAAAGTACGAAATAGAAAAATTTAAGTAGCGATGGACCTTGTTCTTTTTTTACTCCGTACGCTAGATGAATAAAAATCTTCAATTACTTCTTAGAATTTCAACCAAAAGTGAACCCAAAAACAAGAATAACAACTTCACTACTGTGGGGAAGTTCTATTGACTATTCAAATGAGGTTTGAACAAAAAGAAAATTTGTAGAATTGAAAAAATGAAAATGTCAAAAAATTAAAAAATTTGGGGAAATATTGCAAGTTACGAAAGATGATAAATGATTGGTCAAATTTCGCGTTACAATCCTGAAGACAGAATTCCCAGAATAATGAAGACGAAAAATGAGCACCAAGATGAGATGCTTTCGTTCAATTGTACAGATTGTCGAACAAATTTAATTTGGTAACGTGAAGTGTAGGAGACAGCGCTGAAGACCAAGAAGGGTTAGGGATCAAAACTGGAAAAAGGGAGAAAAACCATTTCTTCGGGTTTTAAGTAATATGTTCTTGACCAAAATTACGGGTTACAAATTTTTGCCAAGAATTGCTGAAAGAAATCCCTTGGACCCGACATGTGCTGTTGTCATATCAATGCGCCCCTGGCTCCTCGGGGAACCCATGCTCGGCAAGTTTGACAAATGTGGTTTGGTGTATTTTGTTCATTTCATGAAATTTTCATTCTGCCATAAGTGATTCTCTGTTCGCTTCTTAGGAGCTCGTTAACGTTCGATTAACTATCAGTTGTGGCACATCTGGCATTATTATTTCTTTTCAGATTGTCCAGTTTTTTTTAATAAAGTCACAATATCCAATTTCTCAATGACGCGTGGCGATCAGTATCCGCAATTCTCGATTTATTTGTTTAGAGAAATGCGTAGTCTATTTATTGGTTCCAAAATACGCGATCCGCGAGACGTAGATGAAAAATATGAGAAATATTTAAAATTTAGGAAATTTAGAAAATATTGTGGAAACTATGGAAAATGAAAAATTATTAGACCAATTTTGCCCAGAAGGGGCAAGAGGGCCCAAATTTAGGAAATCCAAGAAATGCTACGATTTTCAGTGATTTTAATTACTTTGGTGAAATTTTCGAGTAATGACCTGCAGTGAGGTTTCTGAAAGGATTAGAGAACTAGGGACCTACATGAAAAACTTATATTCTAACTGTTCTCAACTATGGTAATAGTATATTAAAGCTCCTTTAGGTTCCACCCTCTTAGGTGGAAAAAAAAAAAAAAAAAAAATTTCTTGATTGATTTTGATCATTTAAGATATATTCTATAGTAAATAGACATCCTTAGTGTCACAACTGAGTAGGTATTCATGAATTAAACCTCTTTGAGTCATCTCACTTATTTCGGTGGATGCTCATGTAGGTGTACAGGCACCCCCTACTTCGCTTTTCCTTCAAAAAGCAGTTAATTTAAAATTAGCAATATAATATTATCAGGTATTGACAAAAATTTAAGGCGTGGTAAAGCACTTTTTCTAAAAGTACTTAACATAATTCACGACGGAGATGCGACTGGTATGTACCCCATGTATCCCACCAAAGGTCTACTTGAGGCAGTCTACTGTTTCATGGTATATACCTAATTGAGTGAGACTCAATTTTTATTCTTTCCGTTGTTTTTGATAATTATCAAGATGAATAATAACTCAAAAAAATTGAAAATTAGATAAAGTGGCTATAATATGTTATTATAGCTACTCTATCTAATTTTCAATTTTTTTGAGTTATTATATTATATTATAGCTATATTATATTATAGCTACTCTATCTAATTCAGGGCCCGGCAACCTGGGCTCATCGGGCTCACGCGGCTCCCGAGGTTCGTTAGTGAGAGCTGGGAGAGGGGCCTCATCCACTTAACGAAACTACCTGCTCTAATTCGATTTTTCTCTCTCTCTGAGGCCTAGTTTGACTAATATCAGCAGAGGGCGGCCGTGTGATCGAGCGGCAATTTTCAACTTTTCATAAATTTGAAATATAAATATCAATTTTTCACTCGAAATAGGCAGCAATATTAGACAAAAAAATATTTCAATGCTTTCATGATGAGCACTCACCGTGGAGAATTATTTTATGTCCAGACGAT